TTTTATTGTTATCATCATCTTCATTGACTTCTATATATTTGTTGGTTCATAAAATATCATTTAACTCCTTAACGTCTACATCAATAAAAGTATTCTTAGCATCATGAAAGTTTGAATATATCTTGTAAGTTGGTAGGAGAGGAACTTGATTTGAATCATCTTATCAAGATGAAAGACATCATCTCTTGTAATTACTTCATCGTTACCATCTTAAATAACCTAAACATAACCCTTAAGTTTAGCTTAAACTATGGATAACTAGTCAACTTTTGAATGATACTTTTTAAAGGAATGAAAGTTTGAATATATCTTGTAAGTTAGTAGACAAAGCAACTCAATTTGAATCAACTAACTCATCAAGTTGAAATACATCATCTTTTACAATTATTTCATCGTTATCATCTTGAACAACCTAAACATGATCATTAAGTTTAGCTTAAACTATGGACAACCAATCAACTCTTGAATGATACTTTTTAAAGAAATAAAAGTTTGAATATATTTTATAAGTTGGTAGACAAAGCAACTCGATTTGAATCAACTAACTCATTAAGTTGAAAGACATCATCTCTTGCAATTACTTCATTGTTATCATCTTGAACAACCTAAACATGACCACTAAGTTTACCTTAAACTATGGACAACCAATCAACTCTTGAACATTCCTTTTTAAAGAAATGAGTGCACGTGTAATAAACTTGTTAATATTCTTGAAGAAAGCAAAGATGTCATCGATGTTACGGAGTCTAGCCTGTATTAATTTTGAACAAATCATGATGGAGATCTACTCTGATTGCTCGATTAGTGATATCATACCAATAACATTTGAATAAAAAAACTTTATTCTTCTCTTTTTGATATTGCAATTCAATAACCTCTTCTTATAAGTTATCTTTAACACAAACCCCATTATTATATATCTTTCTATCATGACCATACTCTGCAATATAAAAACATGTCTATTGATGAAATTCATGTCATAACACTTCGTCTTTCTTTTAAGACTCAAACGTAATAAATTCAAAGTAACACTAGCATTTTATCTTAATTAATAAACCTGGTACATGAATTACAACCAGTAACAATTAACAAGAAATATGTAATAAAATTAAGTATTCGAAAAGATAAAAATAATTAAGCAGTCCTTACATGTGTTCTAAATCACATGAAAAATTATATACCATGTAATTAAATGATTTAAGATTCAGTTAGCTGTGAGTTTTAAGATAGTAAAAATTAACAAGGTTGCTTGTAAGAATTATTCAATCTATCAGTTTATGATAGTATAAGACATAAATTTTTCAAAAGTAAGGACATGTTAATTATTATATTTACTAAATAAAAGGTCTTAGTTCATTGTAGTTAAATAACACATGATTATATGTATGTTTGAATTGAAGTTTTATCAAGTATCTTCCCCTTATAATATTTTTTTGGTATAAGTCATTTAGGATGAGAAAATATTGACAAATACCTATTAGAAGGCATTTCCTTACCATTATCATTCCTTTGAATATGATTGATTTTTCTTCTCAATTAAAGCTTGAAATAGGACGAGATAAATGTTGAGATCTTTTTAACAATATAAGTTTCGCATATCAAAGCCTCGACATGTGTTTTGATTTTATTTTTCTCTTAAGGTTGCACAAGTATTTGCATGGAATTAAATCAAAATAAATTATAAACTATGAGTATCAATGACTGATAAGAAGAAGATAAACAAATAATCTGAATGGATGGAAATTGTCTGTATATAACCCAAGATTTATGTTCCTTGATTCCATTAAACATAAAGAATGCACCCTATTAAAATATTTCTAGGCTTTACTATTGGATTAGTGCACCATGACTCTATCCACTACATCAATTGAATGATGTCATGCTATATGTTTAGCAATCTTTGAAGATATGAATAATCTTTACAATTTAGGAGTAAATAAGAAGCATATAAGTTTTTTGTGTGTGAAAATTATCCTTCCCCTGCCAGTTTTGGATTTATGATGAGCTTGCTGACATGTTCTACACTCGACCAACTTTGTATTTTCAAGATAGTATAACATGCAGAAGTTTGGACATATGTTAATTTTATGATATCCTAGGTCAAGGGATTTCCTAAATGATTTAAAAACGTAAAAGTTCTCTTTTAACCTATTCCTATTGGTAATTTTTTTTTTGTCTATTCGACAATTCTATCATAATCGACTTCACTCAATCTATGATATGACTTAATGGTGAATATTTATGCTACTATCAATAATTCATAGTGATTTGTGACCCATCTTATAATGGTTCATCGTAATCTTTTAAAAGATAAAAAAATCTGCTCGCGTCTACATTTGATTCTTCATCTATGATTGAACATTTACCAATATAACTTGATTTATTCTCATTGCATCCATTACCATATTTTAATAAGAATTACTATTTTCATCTATAACTCTATACATATTGCTAGAACTGGAAGTTGACCCAATCATCTTTTTTACCATGGTTTTATATAGAACATATGGTTCTCCCTATGCAAACCAACACAAGTATTTCTCCATAAATATTTTTTGTTGAAGATGCATCATTATAACACCTCGATCATGAAATTTTTTTATTTTTACATCTCTTACATAAACATCTAATATCGCTTCCACTAATGTTTTTCAAATTAGATAGTGTGTAACTAATAAAATCCTCAATCTCATGATAATAATTCATTCTAGCAACCATTTAAGTGATGCATACAACAAAATTCTATGGGAAAAAGTTATAATAAAAATGACCACACAAACAAACTATATATATTACAAAAATATACAATAAAAATTAACATTTTAAAATTGAGTAAAATAAAAAAAATAATTAGTTTTGCTTACTTGATGTCAAGAATCCTAAAAAAATTGAATCATAATAGAAATGCAGAAAAACTAAGTGTTGGGTAGTCGAATTTGTGATATGAGATTGATTTGTAATAAAATAAGTGGGGTTTTGTTGTTTCTTATAAAGAGCTTATAGGGGAGAAGAATAAAGGGAAGGATTGTTCATCAGGTCATAACTTAAATATTCCTAGCTGATTTACAGAAAAAATTTATCAATAGTTTTATGTGGTTGATAATTTTGTCTGTAAAAAATAATACATCATTGTAACTTTTTGTTTTTTTAATTCTTTCCTTTTCCTTTTTTAATTTATTTATGATAATTTTTAGACATTCAAATTTATTTATAATTGTTAAGAAAATATAAATACTGATTTTCATTTTTTATTTATACTTTCATATATTGTTTTTATACAATTCATCATATTGTTTTTAAATTTGATTTTTATTTAGTTTTAAAATATTATTTTATAGTATATAAAATAATTTTAAAAATTAAGTTTTAGTTTACGGATCATATCTTTTTTTTAATTAATTATGATGTTATCCTTTCATATTGTATATGCATTTCATATTTATGTTTATGCTCTTAGGTGACTGCCCCGGGGATGACATGAGACACATGTTCATAGTTAAGACGAAATAAAAGAAACATTACACATGTTCATATTTATGTTCTTTATCATATATTTTTCACTTGATTAATTTGTTCATTTTTTTAAATCAAAGGGAGGGTCTAAAAAGCTGCAACTTTGTGAAATAATGGGGAGAGAGAGAAGAGAGAATGTTTGTATGAGTTGTTACAATCCCCAAGCAATATATGTATGCATTAAAAGCTTCAAGCTTTGTGAATATTAATGTAATGTGCAATACATATATTCAACCAGTTGAGACACTTTATTTCTTGTCTTTGATTCCGGAAGGAAATCGTACACAGTTCCCGATTCCTTCAGACACATAGTCCCCATTCTCTTTTCAGGTTCTCTTCTTTGGAGGATGGTGAAAAAGATACCACATCCTCTCTTTAGCCACCCATTTCTTAAGCCAAAATTTCAATTGAAATTGAGTTGAAATTCCAGAATGACCCCCTTCTTTTTATCAAGCCCTCTCTGAAAACTAAATCTTAAGCTACACGATATGAAATATGTACTATAACTTCAGAAATATGTATGGTTCATCAAGTATTGTAGATTGAAAGCAATATAAATTAAAAAATATAGAAGATAAAATCTAGCAAGAGTATGGCATCTATGATATATATACTTATTTATTTTTTATTTTTTTATTAATAGGAATGTTTACACTAACTTGCATGTATCTTAACTAATTTTATAGGGTACAAAGTTAATAAATTTCTAATAATTTTAAAATTTTTGGAATTTAAACTAATAATTTTAAAAAATTAAATTCAAAATCTAACTATTTAAACTATATCTTAATATAATTTAATATATATATATATATATATAATTTACATGGATATCTAAACTAATTTGTACATATCACAATTAACCTCATGGTTAACTGAAAATCCAATATTGTATACTTTTTTATTTATTTACGTGGGGTGTCTGGGTCAGTTTGTGCGCACCACAACTAATCCTCACGGCCCACTGAACATCCTGCAAACTCAGTAGGCATATAAGGCACCGCGGGAGTGACAAACATGCACACCAAGACTCGAACTCAAGTACAGTAAAAAGAGACAAGCCCCTCCCCACCACGAGATCACGAGACAAAGCACTGGTTTGCGTCAATATTGTATACTTTTAAAAACAAGCCCCTTCCCACCACGAGACAAAGCACTTCCCACCGCGAGACAAAGCAATGGTTTGCGTCAATATTGTATACTTTTAACATACTGAGTTGTTGCTATAATGTATTGAGATTTGTACTTGGCTGCTGGTGGTATGTGTACGTTGATTTTTAGGTTAAATAGCTTAATTAATGCTTTTAATGGCTGCGTAAAAGAGACTACCAAGCGAAACCAAATCTCTATCAAAATTTTAGCGATGTATATAGGGCAAAAGCTGAGTTGCCTTCGATAATGGTGCATTCGTCCTGTTTGTCAGCACATGCATTCCACTTTCCACTACAAAATCGACTTTGGACCCCAATTTTTACCTCACCCACAAGAAAAGCATACCTAAATTCCCATATATTTCACACACTTCTCTCGCTCCCCTCTCCTCGTATCTCTCCACGACCAAAAAGTATCATAATCCTAAGCTAGACGAAGAACCAACTCTCCATAGGAATTACGCTTGCATACTAGAAATAGATACGAAGATCACTGCCTACCAAATCCACCCTCACCCTAATTATAAATAAATAAATAAATTCCTAATCCAGCACAAACCATCCAAATATATATATCTTTCCTTAATTGACGAGTTCTTCCTCCATAGCTAGCTCAGTTCATAAAAAGCAGATGAAAATAGAAGCCTTTCTTGATCTCACTCTATTCTTAAACTTCCTTTGACTTCATAACTTATTGTCGAGTAACAAGCTAAGACCCTGAGACAGAAAATGAGAGCAGGAGGTTGCACAGTGCAACAAGCTCTAACAGCGGAGGCAGCAAGTGTTATTAAACAAGCAGTGACTCTTGCTAGAAGGAGAGGCCACGCCCAAGTCACTCCTCTCCATGTTGCTAGTACCATGCTTTCTGCCTCCACTGGCCTACTGAGAACAGCTTGCCTTCAGTCACCCTCTCACCCTCTTCAGTGCAAAGCCCTCGAGCTTTGCTTCAATGTCGCGCTTAATCGCCTCCCAACATCAACTTCAAGCCCTATGATAGGTACTCCCTCTCAACAGTTCCCTTCAATCTCTAATGCCTTGGTCGCAGCCTTTAAGCGCGCTCAGGCTCATCAGCGGCGTGGCTCTATTGAGAACCAGCAGCAACCTCTCCTTGCAGTGAAGATAGAGTTAGAGCAGCTGATGATATCCATTTTAGATGATCCTAGTGTTAGCAGAGTCATGAGAGAAGCTGGTTTCTCCAGTACTCAAGTGAAAAGCAATGTTGAGCAAGCTGTTTCCTTAGAAATATGTTCACAGAGTGCTCCTTCTGTGAGTATCAAGTCTAAGGAAAGCAATGGTTTGGTCCTTCCAGAGTCTCCACCTTCGAGTCAAGGTGGAGCAAAAGCAGCAGTTTTAGATCCAATTAAAAATGAAGATGTGATGTGTGTTATAGAGAATTTAATGAATAAAAGGAGGAGAAGTTTTGTTATTGTAGGAGAATCTCTGGCAAGTATTGAAGTTGTAGTTAAAGGAGTCAAGGACAAAGTTCAAAGGGGAGATGTTCCTGAGGGCTTGATGGAAGTGAAGTTCTTAACAATTCCAGTTTCCTCTTTTGGCAGTTTCTCTAGGGTAGAGGTAGAACATAAACTTGAGGAGCTTAAAGGCCATGTGAGAAACTACATGGGCAAAGGAGTTGTTTTGAATTTGGGAGATCTTAAATGGGCTATTGAGAACAGGGATAGTAGGACATCAAGTCATGAGCAAGGGAGCTGCTATTTCTGTCCATTGGAATACCTGATCGTAGAACTTGGCAAATTTGCTTGTGCAACTGGAGATAACAACGGAAGATTTTGGCTTATGGGGATTGCCACTTTCCAAACTTACATGAAGTATAAATCAGACCATCCACAAGGAGACACTGTTTTGGGTCTCCATCCACTTACAATTCCAGCCGGCAGCTTACGCTTGAGTCTCATCAGTGACAGGTGAACAGTTCGTAAAGTTGCATTTAATTGTATAGCATTATTTGAGTGTGTATTTTTGCTTTCTATGACTTGAATTTCTTCTGAACTATGCATATGAATTTTCTTTCTCAAATTACTTTTTAGAAAAGAAAAAAGAAGTAGAAGTCGATCAATGAAAAGTAGTTCAGATTATTTTTTTGGTAATAGTCGAAAGAAGTTGTTCAGATAAAGAGATCTACTCCATTTTCCTTCTTTTTTTGGGAACTCAAAATTCAAGTTTGCTAGGGGAAATAAAAGCTATATATATAGACATCACTTTAATACTGTAATTTAAATGCTAAAATGCTATAAACTCATCACTTTTTATATGGTAAGGAGAAAGGGAAGGAGAGGTGTACCTCCCCAGCTATATAGCCACTTTTTTGCCTTTTGCCCGTTACAAATATGCAACATGTCATTATACAAGTTGCTCTTCTAAAAATTCAAAGAGTTTTAAGTAGTGAAAAATATCAATAACCAACAAGCTGTAGCTAGCTCCATGTTATTATTATCAACTTCATATTTACCTCTTTTACATTATCAACAAAGTCAAATAATATCTTCCTTCACCTTTTTCTTCAGTGATCCACTACGGCATTTGACAAGCAACAAAGCTGAAAATGGGTGCAGAAGCTGGATTATACTTGAAGGTGGGGAGGACAAACAACTCACTTGCTGTTCTAATTATTCAGCAAAGTTTGAGACTGAAGCTCGAAACTTACCAAATAGTACCTGTAACAGTGACTCCACTTCTACACTTCCTGCATGGCTTCAAAAATACAAAAATGAGAAAAAAGTACAAAATAGTGATAATCAGGTAACTATAAGTAGTTAATCACATTTGGACCTTCTATAATTCTAGATTGTACGTATACAGTCTAAATATCGTGCGAGTACACACAATGTTGAGCAATGACTGTTTTTTTTCCTCTCGATTTCTCTCTTCCAGGATTGTCTGCCAATCAAAGATCTTTGCAGAAAATGGAACTCATTTTGTGGTTCAATCCACCAACAAAACTACCCTGCTGAGGAAACCCTAACTTTTTCTTCTGTATCACCTTCTTCTTCCACTTCATATGACCATCAATACCCTAATTTGTACCGAAACCAAAATGAATGGCCCATTGTTGAACCCCAGCAGTCATCTAGGGACAACTATTTCTGGAACGGTACAGAGACTATCAACAAGTGCAGCATTGAACCAAGTTTGAGGAAGTACATTCCAGAGCATAAAGATCATACCAAACAACTACCATTTCCATCAAATACTAATTCTACTCCGAACTCAGCTTCCTCAAGTGATGTCATGGAAATGGAGTATCTCCACAAGTTCAAGGAGCTGAATGCTGAGAACTTGAAAACCCTATGCAATGCATTGGAGAAAAAAGTGCCGTGGCAGAAAGACATAATCCCTGAAATAGCGGGCACTATCTTGCAATGCCGGTCTGGCATGGCAAGAAGAAAGGGGAAGGTAAAAAACAGTGTGGCCAAGGAAGAAACTTGGTTGTTCTTTCAAGGAGTAGATATGGAAGATAAAGAGAAGATAGCTAGAGAATTGGCTAGGCTAGTTTTTGGCTCCCCTGAAAGCTTCATTTCGATTTCTTTAAGCAGTTTTTCCTCTACAAGAGCAGATTCAACCGAAGATTGTAGAAACAAAAGAACAAGAGATGAACAAAGTTGCAGCTACATCGAGAGATTTTCTGACGCGGTATCAAGCAATCCACATAGAGTTTTCTTAGTGGAAGATGTCGAGCAAGCAGATTTTTTCTCTCAAATTGGTTTCAAAAGGGCTATTGAAAAAGGAAGAATAACCAATTACAATGGTCAAGAAGTCGGCCTTAGTGATGCTATCATAATTTTGAGCTGTGAAAGCTTTAGCTCAAGATCCAGAGCCTGCTCTCCTCCAATCAAGCAGAGAACAGATGGGTCACATGAAGAAGAGAACAGCGCTGGTGCTGCATTAATGGAGGGCACAAACCCTTGTGTTTCTCTGGATTTGAATATTTCCATTGACGATGATAGCGTGGAACATCAGTCAATCGATGACATTGGCCTTCTTGAATCTGTTGATAGACGGATTATCTTCAAAATTCAAGACTTTTGATGGATAGAAAAATCAAAATAAATCGTGTCATATATATCAGGTGGCTTTGTTCTTATTTGATTGTTATTTGATAAATTTTTAGCTTCTTTTAGAATCCCTAGGGAGATTTTGTAAATCACTAAATACATTATCATCCATTACGCTTCTGTAATACTTATATATATATATATATAACTTCATAAACTATACATAGATTATTCCTATTTCAATATTTATCATTTTATTAACCTTCCTTTTCGCGAGTACTTAAAGCAACTTTTGAATTAGAGAGTGTTCTTTTTTCTTTTTTTGTTAACATCAAGAAGCTACGTAACTATTGATATATACATGCAATTATATATTGATGCATGTGTTCAAGACTGTCAGTGAGCATAATGCACATTAAATAAATATTAGAATATAAAATAACATAGAGTTACTCACTATAAATTTTAAGTTTTTTTTTATAATCAAATTCAATTTAATGGTATAGCCTTATAAGGTCTAATGGCCTAGCAAAGGTACTGAAACTCAAGCCACTTGATAGACCTTAAATGATGGATTATAGTTCAAAGAAACTCTACAAGAGTAATATATAAAAATGAGAATGAGCCACTCACCATAAAACTTAATTCCTTTCTCTTTTGTAGTTGTATTATTGCCTCTAACTCTTTTGTTCTTTCGTCCCTTTGAACCTTCATTAATATAATCCATCCCCTCTTGTTCTATAAAAACAAAAAAGAAAAGAAAAATGAAGAGTGCACTAGCTGCAGTACAAACCAAAAGGAAAGGGAAGAACATTGTTAATTAAACACAGCTGCCACTGATCATTGCACTTCCCTTAATTAATTAATAGTTAATTAACATATAAACATTCAGGTTACCCAAGCAATTATCCCACCATGATTGTCTCCATCTTTTAAATTGTTCATGGTTAATGGGACAATGAAAGTGGCTTCTCACATGAGACAGCACAATGCTAAATCATCCCATCATCATTAATCTAATTAATTTGCAAATCATAGAGAATACCTTTCCTAGTAAATCTTCTGAAGCTTTTTTGGGTGGAGCACGGGGCCCTATGTCTTTGTTGTTTCTTCGAATTAATCAAACTAAACTTAATCTAAAAATTACAATAGAATATTGGAAGCTTTCAATTCGGATGTTCTTTACTACAACTTGAACTTTCAAAAGTTCTGGGAATTTTGAAGACTAGGAATGAAAAGATTGTCTTGTACATTGAAAACACCCAGTGAGATAGCGAAACGTTCCGATTACATAGTATTGGTATGAAACTAATAGCATGCCCCTGTAATCTCATTCATATACTATGATAATATATTATGCTAATTATTTTTATTTTTATTGTTTCTGTTATTTCTAAACAGAACTAACTAGTATTAGATTACATATTCCCATGAAAAGTACTCAACTCAAATTTTAGCATTTATAAAATCCAATTAAAAATTTGTCAGCTACTTATCCACAATTTAAGGTATTTTCTTGTTATCTCCAATTTATTTTATATTACAACAACTAGCTCAAGCATGTCTAAGCAACCTAGTTAAATGATTACGAAGTTATTAATTTGTTAATTAAAATTGAAAAGAAAAAAAAGTTAGAGGATAAATAAAAAGAAAAGATAAAACATCATACGAGTCTGGTATGTCTGTGTCTTTCTATTATTGATATTGATATTAATATTGAATTTTTAATTGCTATTGATTTCTTTATGAAATATAATAAGTTGTATCGAATTGCTTAATAAATAAAAGTCTAATTGAAAAATAATAAATATGCAAATGATAAATAATTGAGTTCTTATCCCTTTATATAATTTAGATAGCATCACGCACCATTGTATGGTTTGATTCATTATTGAAGCATGTTTTCTTCTTCATCAATGTCTTTACAAAAAATGCTATTTACATTTTAAATTAAGGCTTATAGAATGAGTTTTTCATTGGATTAAGTAAAAGTAATTAACAATAAATGTATTTTAAAAAAAATTATTCATAGTTTTTAGCTAAAAGTTTTCTTTTATTTCAACTTCATATTACTATTTTAATATTTTATTTACATAAATGGAAGTACCTGTTACATGTTGAAAATTTTCATAAATGACAAACTATTATTGAATGATATCTGAATTCTTTGCCCATATAAGCAAATAATGTACGATAGGATATATAAGGGTACTAAATATAAAGTAATACCTAGAACTTAACCCATAAGGAGGCACCAATATTACATTACAATTAATCAGATGTAAGTTTCACAAATATATAATAAAAGTGAGGAATAGTAAATTGGATTATAAATGATTGCTAAATAAGGACTGAAACAATGACCTCTCCTCCCTCTCATCCCTCCGCCTCCTACCTCTCTAATCATTTCTTTCAAAAACTACCCTTAACCTCTTCGTCCCCACCTATAATCCTCTATATACATATTAGTTTTTTGAAAACTTTCCAGTCTAATGTGATGCAGATGGGTTTATAAGAATTTTTTTGAAGTTTGGTATATATTGCATCAGACCTTTTCAGTTCCAAAAAAAAATATCTAGCGAGATGGTAGGAGATTGGTTTTGTAACTTTTTCAAAATAGGATAATCTTCAAAACTTTTGAAAGAATTATGTGATATTTGGATTTCTAATTTCAAATTATATACAAACTTGATACTTTTTAAAATGGAAATAAAAGATGGGATACATAAGCAACAAACTTACAAAAGATATGATTGGTATACAAAAGGAGACGTTTCTCAAGAGCAATTTTAATTTATGGATAATACATCATTTTCAGTTATGTTTAAAAGAACTAGATTTTCATCTTTGAATTCTAAGTTAAATTTGTAACCTTTTTAGAAGCATCCACCATACTGCAAATACTAGGAAGGATAAAAAGGCTTTTGTTTTTGAATTACATGAATCTTAGAATTGGTCTATTCCATGGTATGATTCCAATAAAGGGAATCTATTTCAGCTTAAAAGAAGCATGATTACCATGCTCATGACATAAAAATTATACCTAATATATTACATTATAGTTCGTTTTATGCAAATTAATCAGAATTATCTTCTTTATCAATTGACTCATCTTAATCCCCATCATAATATTCTATGTTGATTTCATTGCTATTATCTTCATCGACATGTGTATGTCCACTACAGTTTAAAACATCACTCAACTTCTTAGCATTAACATCAACAAAAACATTATTGGTGATGTGAAAATTTAAAAAAAAATTAAGTTAATAGATGGAGCAACTTGATATAAATTAACTAACTCACGAAATTGAAATATATCATATCCACAATTAATTCATTGTTGCCTTCCTGACCAGCCTCGACACAACTCTTGGGTTTAGTTTTTACTACGAATAAGTAATCAACTCGTAGACAATCATTTTTAAAGAAAGGAGTGTGTGTGTGCGTGTGTGCATGTGTGATAAACTTGTGAGCATTGTTTGGCAAAAATAAAGAAATCATCGATATTGCGGAGTCTAGCATTTGAATTAATTTTGACCAAACCATTCTGGAGATCTACTCAATCTGATTCCTCCATTAGTGGTCATACTAATAGCATTTTAATAAAAATACTTTATTGTACTTGCTATGATATTGCAATTCAATGACCCTTTCTAATTTCTCATGGTAATCAATTTCAAACTCAATAAAAGTTGTTTACGGAACACAAACTCAATTGTTATATGTCTTTCTACATTGTATGTATTTTTCAATATGAAATACATATTATAGCACTTCACTTTTTTTTAAGACCCAGATTTAATAAAGAGAAAGTAACACTAGCATTCCCTTTCAATTGATAAACTTGATACATGAAGTACAACCATAAACTGTTAACTAGAAATGTATAATGAAATTAAATATCATAAAAGATAAGAATAATTAAACAGTACTTACATGTGTTCTGAATCACGTGGAAAATTATTTATCTTGTAATCAAAAGGTTTAGAAATTAGTCAATTGTTAGTTTTAGGATAATAAATATTTATGATGTTGTCAACAATGTATCAGCTAATGATATTATAAGAGATAAATTGTTAGAAAAAAACATGTTAAGTAGTATACTTAGTGAATAAAATATCTCAATTCATTATAGTTAAATTGCACATGATTATGTACTTGTCTGAATTCTATTTCTGATAAATATCTTCCCCTTCACAATAATTTTTAGTATGGATCGTTCAAGATGAGAGAATAGTGACAAGTTTTCATATAAAAAAACTTCTTTACCATCATCATGCCTTGAAACACGGTTGATTCTTGTTCTCAATTAAGGCTCGAAATAGTATGAGATAAATGTTGAGATCTCTTCAACAATATAGGCCTCATACATCGAAACATCAATATGCGCCTTATTTTTTACTTTTCTTTTAAAGTTGAACAAGTACCTATATGAAATTAAATGAATATTTTGAAAAATACGAACAAAGACAATAAAATTTTAATTATGATACATGTGTAATTCCTAACCTCTCAAATTAATGCATCCATTTATGTTGGACCAAGCCTCGAACTTTTGCCTCAAATACTAAATATACAGGTAGATACTCCAATGAGTTGAAAAATAATAAAGAGGATATCATCTCAAGTTTGTATTTTGTCTAGATAATATTCATTTCAAACCTCTTTATATGTTGTGTTTGCAACTTGTTAGAACATATATTTCTAAAGAAGTGACTAATCTTCGTAACTGCATCTTATATCCTCTTTGATAATAAATCTCAGTAAGCTAATAAAATAAGTGTTTGTATAAATATGTGGCAGTTATGCCTCTTCATTTCATATAATCTAGAATCCTTCAAATTCACCAACCTTGATATATTCGAGGTATGACCATTAGGAAAATGCAAACTTTTAAGTCATTTATAGATAAGTAACTATGCATTATTGTTTAAGGTGAAACTAACTTTAAGCTTTGTGACTCGTGATTCAACATAAATCAACTCCATATTTTTACAATAATAAAAAAAAACTATAATCATTTTAGCTTTAATGTTACCTTTATCTTTCCTTTTACTTCTATAATCATGTTAAAAAAATTATCAAACATGTTTTTCTATGTGCATGAAATTAAGGTTAAAACAGAGGAGATCCATCAAGAAAACATAAATTTTTAAGTCATTAGTAGATAAGTAACTATGCA